TGTTTTTTAAATCCTCACCCAAGGATATGTTTTTACTTTTATTATTTTAAGAAAGGAAGGAAGATAAAGAGAGAGAGAGAAACATCAACTAGTTGCCTACTGTACTCGCCCTTATTGGGTTCGAACAGGCAACGTAGGTATGTGCCCTGACGGAGAATCAAACCTGCGACGCTTTGGTGCCACGGGACAACACTCAACCATTGAGCCACCCGGCCAGGGCACGACCGTGTCACCGTTAAGAAGTGGAAACTGGTGATAACGAAGGCAAGGCAGTGGCGTCTGCAGCCTGAAAGCAATTCGATTTATGCAGCTTTGAAGAACAAAAGTGTATTCTTCTAAGAAGAAATCCAAACACATTTTCTGTGGAAAAAAGAAACCACAGTAACTGTGCTGCCAAAATAAACCAGGCAGGGGCAAGGCAGATCTCTGCTGCACAGGCCAAAGAGACCGGCGGAAAGAATCAACTGATTTTGTTTTTAAAAAAGAGAAGGAAAGAGAGAGAAATTCTGCCCCAGTCTTGATAACGTTCTGTTTAGAATAAGTCTGGTTTCTAGAACCAGACACCTATTTAAAAAAAAAAAAAAAAAGAAAAAAGAAAGAAAAAAAGAAAAAAAGAAGCCTAACCAATGAATAGACATATTTTGAATATCTGAATCAATTCTACAGTAAACCAGGCACAACAGTAAAATGATTTGGCCAAAAATCCAAATGTAAACAAAAATATTTTTCAGGGAAAAGAAAAACTCTAAACACCGTATTAGACCGCACAAAAAACACGTGATACTCCTGCCCTGCTGTTGCAGTCATAGTTTAGGGCAAATCTTCAATTCAGTCCAGAGCCAGAGACTCGGGCCCAGGATGTGGCCTCTTGGAAAATAAAGTCGTTAAATATGTCAAACACTCTGGGGATGAGAAATATAAAAACCAGCAAGAAAACTTTGAATGAACACATACGTTTTTCTAAAGGTCAGTGAATATTCCCCTCCCTCCTTGTTCAGAGTCCACTCTCTGCTGGGTCCTCAGACAAGGTCACTCACCGGGTCCCAGCCCCAGCAGACCCTCCCACGGGACCTGCTGCCCCGGACCCAGCGGAGCCGGGAAGTGCAGGCTCCGGGCCAGGCTGCCTGGGTTGGATTCTAAACTCCCCACATGCTTGCTGGGAACTCTGGTTCCATGAAACAAGAGCATCCACAGTATTCTCTCTACTTCTGAGTTTGTGTGAAAACTTCCGTAACGAGTTTTTAACTTTAATTTCAAAATGAATACCAGTTGAGAGCTAGGAGAGCGTATCGCATTCCCTTCTTGAATCGTTCCTGTGCTGATCTGGACGGTGCAGCACAGTACGACTATGGTCTGCTGAGAGCCAACCGCAGGCCAGACGCTCTCCTGGCACCTGCCTTAATCAGTAAATGTTCTATTCACATCAAGGGGGCGGGGGACAGGGCAGACAAGTACAGGTTCCTAGTGCAGAAGTGAGGATGTGAGCATCTTTCTTCTGACCAGACTCAACGCTCTCTCACAAAATCCCGGTGGATGGTTATGTGCTTTGCAGGGAACGTCACATTGAAACCAGTATAATGTGGCCAGGATGGCAGATGCTTAGATCACATTCCTATAGTCAGGTATAGTCCAATTCCTATAGCTGGACTAAGAACACCAGCTGAACAATCCTCATCCTTTTAATCTCCCTAAAGCTCCAGGCCCTCTCTCCAGGCAGCGGGCCAGGGCACCCTGACTCGGCTCTCATCAGGCTGAGCCTCGCACTTCCTGCCTCAAGGTGAGCAGTGCCTTCTCCCGCATGGTCTGATCCATCTCCCCACACGCTGTGACTTGCAGACGCGCTAAAGCCAAGCTCACTTTACAGCTAAGCTGGCTGGGCCTTCCTCACCTAGACTTGCATGGCCAGAGGCTTCTCGTTGCGGCCAGATGGCCCCCACGCCTACTCAGAATGCTTCTCTCATTCCCCGGAGTCACTTAGGATTCCAATCCCCACATCTTAGGAACCAGCTACCGTCTGCTGTCTGTCCCGTAAAGCTGTCTGCAGCGATGGGCATGTTCTGTCTGCACTGCCCAATAGAGCACACCCTAGTTTTTCCCCAAAAATGTTTTTATTGATTTGAGAGAGAGAAGAAGGTGGAAGGAGAGAGAGAGAAACATTGATGTGAGGGAGAAACTTTTAATTTCTAGCACCAGAAAGCCTATGCCTACAGAATTCAGGAGTGCATTCTCCCAGAGTATTCATTCCCAGGCCACGCCCAACCCCTCGGACCTGGGAGATTATCAAAAGCCACTTCTTCCCCGAACTCAGGCACACCGACCAGAAGTGCAGGAACAAACACTGACCGGCACCAATGACTGAGATTTCCATACGCCGGGCCCTGGGCCTCAAGTTATTTCACGGAAATCTCACTGCCACTCTCGGAGCAGGTAACACCATCTCCCTTTTCTGGTGAAGAAAGTGAGGCGTGAAAAGCCAAAGAACCAAACCCTGGCAGGGTAGCCCAGCCGGTTAGAACGCCGCCCCAGTGTGCCAAGGTCGAGGGTTCGACACCCGCTCAGGACATATATACAAGAGACAACCAGTGACTCCATGAACAAGTGGAACAATAAATCGATGCCTCTCTTTCTCTCTCTCTAAAATCAATCAGTCAATAAACCATTCTTTAAAGCCAAAGCACCTTGCCCAGGTCCTGGTGCAGGTGAGTGGCAAACTGGGATTTGAGCCTGGCCGCCTGGCCGGGGGCTCAGGCCCCACCTTGCTATTTGCCGGGGCCTTCAGAGACCCCAGCAGCCCACCGCCTCACGGCTGCCCTCCCCTCCCTTTGCCTTCATGTCCAGGCTCACATCAGAGCTCTGGGCCGAGATCGCTCCGGAGTCCCTTTTACGTATAAGAAACATGAAAAGGATGAATGCTATTCAAGCCAGAATAGAAAGAAAGGGGTAAGATTAAAGCTAAACCAATACCAAATTATCATGGGCTTCTTTTTTTTAAATAGTTGGAAGAAGCTTGCTCTAGCCTTTAACAAATCATGGTTCACCTAGACATAATGACAAGGTTACATTTCATTTGGCCTGCATGGTTTTTCAAAAGAAATCTTAAAATGCTGCTAATGTTTAAAAACCTGTGGTGAGCCGAAACCGGTTTGGCTCAATGGAAAGAGCGTCGGCTTGGGGACTGAAGGGTCCCAGGTTCGATTCCGGTCAAGGGCATGTACCTTGGTTTCAGGCACATCCCCAGTAGGGAGTGTGCAAGAGGCAGCTGATCGATGACTCTCTCTCATAGATGTTTCTAACTCTCTATCTCTCTCCCTTCCTCTCTGTACAAAATCAATAAAATATATTTTAATTTAAAAATAAAAAATAAAAAAATTAAAACCTGTGGTGATTTCACAATTAAAAAGCCTATACTTAATTTATTTTATTTTTTATTTTTTTGCATAAGATCTAGCAACATTAAGTGGCTTCTAGTAATGCAAACCGATAAATGGCTTATGTGATTTCTGGTTTGCCACAATCCCCACCACTCCACATTGCCTCTTTAGCATGTAGGCCAAGCTCCAGGAGGCACCCACGTTTGTGGCCTCATTATGGGAAGCTCAGGCCACATGAGTAATCACATTCAGTCCTCTCCAGTCCGACCAGTTGCAGGAAAGCATTCTCATTTCCTGCCAAGTCATTCCTAATCTCTCGCACACCTCGGGGAGGCTCCCAGAACCCCATCCCCACCAAGCTCCGCCCCAGCCCCAATGCCACCAAAACTGCACTCACCTACAGGTGGACACACTCCCACCTCCCATGGGAGGACAGACAGAGGGAGGCATGGACACTGGCCATTGGGCAGAAGCTCCACCACCTCCTCACCCAGCTTCCCAAAGATGGCCCAGAGCCCAGCTCTACAGAGGACCTCAGCCCCTCCATGGACCAGCCACTCAGGGACTGCCCGGTCACCATGGAGCCTCCGGAACAAGAGACCAGTGACATCCCAACATTCTATCTAGAACCAGACAGCAATGGCAACCCTGATGGGCCATCAGTGAGATGGTTGAGATGGGGGAAGATTTGTAAATAAAATGTCCTCATCTCCATGACTACCAAATGATCACTCTCCATCTCTACCTGTACGTTTTTGTATCAGTATAAATGAAAATATAGTGAAATTAGCAAATAAAATAATAAAGTTAATATTTTTCCCTTTCCCTGTTCAATTTTCAGAAAGCATATCACTGAACCTAGCCATCCCCTAGGGAATTACGCTTCACCTTCTATAGAGAAGAGTATCTAAATATACTATTGGAATTCTGTAAGGAAAATTTGTCTCTTCTATTTACTTATTTATTATACTAGAAATTCATGCATGGGAGGGGGGTTATCCCTCAGCCCAGCCTGCACCTTCTCCAATCTGGGACTCCTTGAGGGATGTCCAACTGCCCAGTGGGATCGGGCCTAACGGGCAATCGGATCCCTCTTACAATCCAGGACTGCTGGCTCCCAACCACTAGCCTGCCTGCCTGCCTGATTGCCCCTCACCGCTTCTGCCTAACAGCCTGAATACCACTTAACCATTCCCCTGCCAGGCTGATTGATGTCTAGCTGCCCCCCTCCTGGCACAATTGCCCCTAACTGCCCTTCTCTGCCAGCCTGGTCACCCCTAACTGCCCTCCCTTGCTAACCTGGTCGCCCCCAACTGTCCTCCCCTGCAGGCCTTGTCCCTCCCAACTGCCCTCCCCTGCAGGCCTTGTCCCTCCCAACTGCCCTCCCCTGCAGGCCTTGTCCCTCCCAACTGCCCTCCCCTGCTGGCCCAGTCACCCCTAACTGCCCTCTCTTGCCATCCTGGTCGCCCCCAACTGCCCTCTCCTGCTAGCCATCTTGTGGTGGCCATCTTGTGTCCACATGGGGGTGGCCATCTTGTGTGTTAGAGTGACAGTTAATTTGCATATTACTCTTTTATTAGATAGGATTATTTATATCAGTACAAACATACACACACAACTACAACTCACCTGCTACTCTGTGCCTCTCCGTTCTCTCTTCTGAGGGGTCACAGGCAACTCCCCATTGACACTCTCAGCCCCACTGACGGACATCAAACTTCTCCGCTCCTTGTGATTGGATTTGTGTTCCACCTTCGTAACTCTAAACCTGAGGGGCAAAGAGGATATGTTTGCTCTTCCAGGAAACAGAATGGTGAGTGAATCAAAAACCACCCACCTAGAGGATTCCAAATGAACTCAGCAGAAAGTTAGCACAGCAACAGAAGACACCTTAGTCAACAGTAAATCCCCCTGTCCCTGCCCAACTTCCCGGTTCATTTCAGTCAGCACATCACAGACGATGCTGAAAATGCATTCCAGAGCGTGGAAAATGCATTACAGATACGGTACCCAAATATTACACAGCCTCTGAGTTGCTGCTTCTAACAATGACATGGGCTTTAACATCTGGCTGGAGAAAAACATAACTGGTTTGTAAATTAGACTAATGTAATGACATAACCAAAATGTTTACTCAGAAACTGCCTGAGTCAAAGACACATTTGTCAGAGGGTCAGCTTTCTCTCTCTCCACACACACACACACACACACACAAAACCATGGAAGCTCCAACTATGTATTTTATCAGTATCGGAAGCAGGGTTTTTGTGCCTAGTTTTTTGTTTTTTTTGTTTGTTTGTTTTTTTTTTTGTGTGTGTGTGTGTGTGTTTAAAGCAATTTGGATTAATTTTCGCTAAGGATTATGGGAAATTTTAAGAAAATTAAAGAAGATATTTTTCATTAAGATTAAGAGAGAAGGTAAAGAAATTTACTCAATTTGACTGTTTTTCCATTTCTAGTCTATCATCATGAAATCCCTAAGGTCTATCTCATAATTTCTATTTCTGGCTTTAAGTTCCCTTAAAAGTATCTCAAATAAACTCTTCTTTGTCCAAAATGAGATCACCCACCATCAGGAGGAGGAGGCTGAGGCAGTGAGGACTGGGGTGGGGTGGTGGGGTAGGGGGTTGGTGTCACCAGAACTCTGTTCTGTCGCACTGTAACACGCTAAGTAACCCACGCTGACACTCCTAGCATTCTGCAGAAGGAGAGTTGCACTGGGGGCATTTAATTGAACCGGAGTTAAAATTTCAGCCGATTTTCCTTTAAAGCAAACAACGTTCACTTTGTCCAAACAAGCTACAAGTCCTCGTCGGATCCCACAGTCATAAGTTCCCATGCCTCTGCCTCTTAGTAAGCAGTGCGGCCATGGGCCGCACTGTTTTGCTGGAAGCGGCAGACAGCCTGGCCGTTTTCCCCTCGTTGCTGGTGCAACACATGATGAAATTCAATCGAATTAAACAAACAGGAATGACAGCCAACATTGCTTGAGTGCGTTGTAAGTGCCAAAAACTGGCCTAAACTTTTACATGAATCATCCTGTTTGGTCTCACAGCAACCCAATGAGGTGAGTGGTACTGTCACTCCCAATTACTAAGGGGGAATGAGGCACAGAGAGAAGCGAGTTTTTAAGTGCTGGTGCCAAGACTCAATGCGTCCAGGCTCCTCTTCCCAGTCTGTCAGCAGGGAAAGGAGGATCCTGTATGCCCAAACGACAGCTCTGCTTGGTGCTGCAGGGCCTGGTCCAGCACGCACGCTCTTAACTGATGCGGTGGCAGCAGCGCAGTTCCTGCATGAGACTCAAAACCAAAACTGCAGACACTGCGAAAATGCTCTACCCATAGTCATTCGTTACTTGAACTGCAAGATCTCCGCATCACGTGAGTCACAGTAAATCGTACCAGGGCCCGGGTGAGGTGAGCTCAAAGGAAACAGTCTCAGGAACGCACACGGAGCTGAGGTGCGGACTCCTGGCCTGGCCGTGAGGTGTGGCCCAGGAGCTGAGCTCTAGGCAGTGGCATGTGAGTGGAAGAAAATGTGCCATCTCCCGGCCCATCTCACCAACACCTCTTAGGAGCGGTCCTCCGGCACTTCCTCCTTCTGCCGGCAAGCCTGGCAGAGTGCCAATGGAGAAGCGGGGGCTCTGGGTGACTGCTTGAAGAGCCACCTACCGACCTTTCCATCTCCACATAGGAAATCCAAACTCCTATTTTGCAAGTAGTTCGGACTGGGCTTTTTCCCCCTTCCCCCGTCACCATTTATCGCCTCTCACCCTCTTCCCTCTCCACCCTGCAATCACCACACTGTTCTCCATGCCCATGGGTTTTCTCTTCTTCATTATTGTAAGTGTGCGTTAACTTTATGTGACACCTTGACCGGGGGAAACCGTTATTTCGGGTGTGTCTGGGAGGCAGTTTCGGATCAGATTAGCAGTGGCACCTGCAGTCTGAGGAAGGATCACCCTCCCCCGTGTGGGTGGGCACCGACCGATCCCCGGAGGGCTTGAGTACAACAGGAAGGCAGCGGGAGGCTGTTTGCTTCCTGCTGGAGCTGGGCCAGGCGTCTCTCCTGCCCTGACATCAGCCTACTGGTCCCCAGGCCTTCAGGCTGGGATCGGGCCTTACTCCATCGGCTCCCCTGGGCCTCGGGCCTTTGGACTGAACCAAACTACACCTCCAGCTTCCCTGGGTCTCCAGGTCCCAGCCAGCAGATCAAGGGACTTCTTGACCTCTATAATCACATGAGCCAATTCCTATAATAAATCTCCACTTATTTCTATTTATAGCTATCTTATTGGTTTTGCTTCTCTGAAGAACCCTAATACAGCAAGTAAGTAATTTTTTTTTTTACCTCAATTAATACAGCTGACACCTGATCTAGCAATAGCCGCCTCTTAGATTCCTCTGCTGTTGGGAAAATATAGAACTCAGACCTGAAAACTCCTAAAAAAGTCCAGAGAGGTGACTTGATCCAGGCTAAGGAGAACAGTTCAGGACGGACCCGCACAGCACAGCAACCACGTCACACACACCCAGAGCGTCCACAGGAATCTCACCTGCCCACAGACAGAACGGTGACCTCCCCCTGGCGCTTCGGGCGGCCTTCTTTGGACTTGCTGGTCGGTTTTATGAAGTGCCATCTCTTGTGTCTACACCGATTACACACATCTCTCTCGACAGCGCCGCCCACTGTGTGCAGATGGTGACCGCAGACGTGCTTCCCTGGCGTGCCACCTGGGGACAAGGGCCCGGGGCTCACGGGTGGGCTTCCGGGGGTGCTGGGGGTCCTGGGGCTAAGATGGGAAGGAAAAAAAAAAAGGTAGAAATGGTTACTTAAAGGGAACACCAGCTAAGGCAATCTTTCCCCCTGCTACATAAGAAGCAGGTTTGAATCAAAAGAAAATAATGCCTCTTCCTATTAAACAAATGAGCTTTGAGTACTAGTCTTAGGCAGCAAATTTCTCTTAGGACTATGCAATGACAGCTCGTTTTAAATAGCAATAACGTGATTTACCACTTCACGAATGGAATTAAACACTGCTTCCAACGATGATGCACTGTTTGTCTTTGAGGTATTAGATTTCATTCTAAACAGCTGATCTCCATTCTCATGTGATCACACTAATTTCTCACACAGAGCAAAGTGCCTGCCCAGATTTCTAAGCAAAGAGATGCATACCCTGGAGCAGGGGTCCTCAAACTTTTTAAAGTGGGGGCCAGATCACGGTCCCTCAGAGAGCTGGAGGGCCGGACTATATGAACTACTAATTCCTACTGTAACACCTCGGCTGCGCTCACTGCCCAAAAAACCTGGCTGGCCGGATTAGACTCCTCTGCGGGCTGCATGCGGCCCGAGGGCCGTAGTTTGAAGACGCCTGCCCTGGAGGATTGAGAAACTTAAATTCCAATCAAACTACCTAATGACTTACGATAGAATATTTGACCCAATTGACTACTGCATTAAAAAAATAAACGTATCCCTGGCTACTGTGTTTTAGTTGATGGAAGCATCATCCCATACACCGAAGGGTCGCGGGTTCAATTCCCAGTTGGGACATATAACTAGGTTGTGGCTTCGGTCCCTGGTTGGGACACATAGGAGAGAGGCAATCAATTTTTCTATCACATAGATGTTTCTTTCTCTCCCTCCCTTATCCTCTCTAAGAAAAAAAAAAAAATAGAATCCTTGAGAGAAGAAAAAGAAAGCTTTTAGGTTGAGATATCAAAGGTGATGCTCCAAAGAAATGCTGGAGTTGATAATAGCAATAAAAATAGCTAACATAGTAACCTAAGCGTTTGATATATGTTCATTTAACTCATCAGACCTTATGAAGTAGGTATCAATTTCTTCGTTAAAAAACTTGGAGGCTCAGGAAAGCTTAATAAATTACCAAAGATCACACAGCTATAAGTAATAATCTGAGGTCCAAATCTAGGAAGTCTAATTCTAGAAACCATGATCTTAATCATCCCATAGTGCTTCAGAAGCAGGGAGATCACCCAAAATATTAAAAAGCAGAGGTAACGCTCTAGCTGGTTTGGCTCAGTGGATAGAGCGTAGGCCTGTAGACTGAAGGGTCCCGGTTTCGATTCCGGTCAAGGGCACATGCCTGGGTTGTGATCAATGATTCTCTCTCATCATTGATGTTTCTCTCTCTCCCCCTCTCCCTTCCTCTCTAAGATCAAAAAAAAGCAGAAGTATGCAGGCTGGGGATTGGCTCCTCTCAAAAGGCACATGGCAGGGCTCTGGTCCACCAGAAAAGGAGGAATGAAACAGGCCAGGCCAGCCTGACAGGGAATCAGCCTCTGATCCGGTGTAAGTGGATGCAGGTGAGGTGATCCGTCCCCTCAGAGCCTGACACCTAAGGCTGCGTCAGAGCCCCAGGGCACCAGGAAGTCTGCGGCTGCACAGCCCAGCCTTTATGCTGGAACAGCCAGCGTGCACATTTAGAAGCGTGGCCCTGGGTTGAAAAGATACTCTCAAATGTCACAGACAACCAGTAGCTTCCTGGTGCTCTTCAGGGATGCTCCTTATGTGGTTAAAAAAACACACACAACCGAAACCTGTTTGGCTCAGTGGACAGAGCGTCGGTCTGTGGACTGAAAGGTCCCAGGTTCGATTCTGGTCAAGGGCATATACATTGGTTGCAGGCACATCCCCAGTGGGGGGTGTGCAAGAGGTAGCTGGTTGATGTTTCTCTCTCATCGACATTTCTAGCTCTCTATTCCTCTCCCTTTCTCTCTGTGGAAAATCAATAAAATTAAACACACACACACCCACACACAGCATAAGCAGCAGCAGCAGCTTTCTGGGGCAAAACAATGTTAAATTAACACCAAATAGTAGAAGGCTGAATTCAAAAGTTTAACAACATTCATTCAACCAACATTTATCAAGTACCCGCTGTATATAAAGCCCGTGTGATGCACACAGATAACGGAGGCAAAGATCCCACATGCTAACCGGGTCCTACCACCAGGCATCTGTGCTCAGAGCAGGAACTCGGAAGAAATCACAGCTCATGTCTCTGTGGATGACACCACCAGAGCTTCCTAAGCTGGCCTTCCTGGCACCCAGTTATCTCGCAAAAGTGCAAAGCTAACATGGCCAGTTTGACAAGCACGTATGAAATCTTTAAAATATGCAGGATACGCCCTGGCCAGTGTGGTTCAGTTGGTTGGGTGTTTTCCCCCATGCACCAAAGGTTGCTGGTAAGATTCCCCGTCAGGGCACAAGCCCGGGTTGTATCAACAGCTTCAATCCCCAGGGAGGGGGTGTGCAGAAGGCAGCCGATCAATGTTTCAATCTTCTCTCTCTCTCTCTCTCTCTCTCTCTCTCCCCCACTTCCTCTCTCTCTAAAAATCAATTTTATATATATATATATACACATAGAAAGAGAGAGATGCATATATATGTAAATGCACATAAAATAAAATAAAAAATAAAATATGCTGGGTGCACAACCCACAGGGTAAATAAGGAGGAAAGTCTAAACAGTCCCAACTGGCCTCCTGGCCCTTCTCGCTACTGTCCGCAGCACGTTCTCTGGCCACCCGACTGGACCTTCCCAGCTGCGTCCCACACGTTCGTGCTCCAGGGCCTTTTCTCCTGGACTTTCTACACGCAGCCCCTGCCTCTTCCCTCTGCTTGCTGCATGCCTGACTCAGATGGCACTTCTCTGGACCTTCCCTGGCCTCCGGCAGGCCCCACGGCACCCCTGGCACCCTGGGCCCTTACTTCTACAGCACCCACCACGGGGCTCACACATCTCCAGTCCCCACGAGATCCAGTCCTCCGGGGCAAAGAGCTGAGTGCCCAGCTCCAGCACAGTACCCAGCACACAGCCGGCACTCCATGAATGCTCCTTATTGGACAATGACAGATTATACAGAAATTGTACAGAAATACAGTCCTGTGAAGTCTCTCGGGGCCTGAGGTATTTCCTATTCCTTACAATAACCCAGTGAAGTGGGTGCAGTGGTCATCTCCATCTTACAGGAGCTGAAACTTGTCCTCGGAGTGGTCAGTAACTTCCCCAAGAAGATGCTCAGTAAGTTCTGGAGGTGAGACCCTACCCAGGCCCCCACCCAAGGCTGCCACTACCCCCCCCCCCATTCTCTCCCACAGCGGTTCGCCCTGGGGCCTCTGCCTCCTGGGGACACAGACAATGTGTCAGACATTCTGGAGGGAGGGGGGCACTGGCATCCAGGGATCGGAGGCCAAGAATGCTGTCCAACACCCAAAACCACAGGGCCTTCCTCACAGCAAGTAACTCTCTGGCCAGTGTCACAGCGCGAGGCTGGGAAACCTGCTCGGCACACCCTGCAGGAAACGGCCCAGACCTGGACGGAGCACTCACCTCTCAGGGTCACAGATGGTGCTGTCTGCTACCATGGCCTTCAACACGTCAGCGTTTGCTGAGGGGAATAAATGTGCAGAATTAGGACAGCAGGAGAAGGAGGGGAATCACAGAATTGTCACATCAGAAAAGCTGCTGGAATGGCACCTGACTGAGCTCATTCAGGTCACAGAGGAGGCCCCGGGGCCCCGGAGAAGGGAGGGACTTTCCCAAAGGAGCCCCAGGACCGGGCACCACTGCCAATGGCTTTCACCAGGCGGGAACTTAGGATGAGTGACGGGGAATCACACGGAGGAAGCAGCTCCAACAGAGAGCTGTCCCCTACACATCGCCCCAGTGTGACACGGAAGACACCGCGTCTCCTCTCACCGGAGGGAGCGCGGCATGCTCCCCGCACCCAGCTCTCTGCCGAGTGTGTAAGATCACGTATGTCTCAGGAGGCTGTGTGCTAATGACTTCTATGTGCCCAAATAATAACCTCCCAACCCTGGGTGCCATGTCGTTCCAAGTCTATCCCATGTAAACCCCACGCGTAATAGGATTTCCACGTGTGCCGTTTGGCTTGCCTCTGCATCCTTAACCACACAGGACAGACGGCTTAAAACTTCATGTTGGTCACACATACAAGTTACCTAGCATGGACTAAGTTACATTACACTCCTAATGTTATTTTTTTCCATTGCTTTTCAGAAAATAGAAGGGAGAGAGGATGGGGGGAGGTGGGAGACAGAGAGAGAGAGAGAAAAAATATTATCCTCAGGTGAGAAGAAAGGAAGGACGGACGGAAGGGAGGGAGCGAGAGTGGAAGGGAGGAAGGGAGGGAGGAGGGAAGAAAGAAAGAAGGAAGGTAGAGAGGAAAGAAGGAAGGAGGAAAGAAAGGTAATTTCCTCTCCCACCACTACTCTCTTCAGCTTTTTCCCTTACAAGCAAGGAAAATTTCCCAAGTAAGAATTACTATTGCCATCAGCAAAATGAGAGTACTGGTATGCGCCAGTCCCTGGCCAAAAGCTTTACAGACCTCACCATGCTGGACTCTCCCGACAACCCTAACAATAGACAGAACTGCCACCCCATTTTACAAATAGAGACTGAGGCCTAGAGCCTATAACTGAACAGCCAGAGTCACACGGGCACAGCAACAGGCCCGGGCACACACTGGTCTACCTGACTCTGTTTCACCTGATGGTCTTCCTACTCGTCCAGGTCTCTACCCCAATGATTAATAGTTCAATAGTCAACAGGTTTGCATAACCACTACAGCAAGTTGCAGAGACCTTCAAGAGTTTGTAAAGGAGTCCTTTGGGCCATAATATAAATTGCGGTAAGAATTTCACCAGGGGCGCTTGGAGAACAGTCACAGTACTCCTCATTGTTACTCCGTCAGACCGTGAAAGGCTTGCAAGAGGAGCTCAGCTATGGAGCGGCAGGTACTTTCCAAACTCCATAATGAAAAGCACCCCGATGACCTCGCAAACACTCCTCCATTCAGCCTCACTTGAAAGAAAACTTAAAGGTAACACGCCAGCTAATCCAAGACTTGAGATTAGGAGGAAAATAATCAGTGCTCAGGTCAGCTGAGAAAGGCATCCTTCAAGAGATACTTATCTAGAGTAACCTGAATTGCAACATTCAAGCCATGATATGTGTAAGCCATAAACAAGACTGTCACCATGAGCACAGGGGAAATCCTACCCCGTTAGCCAAATTAAAAATGCAAAGCAAAAGACTCATCATATACATCAGGATTGCAAATGGCTTAAAATATTTAAACATAGGCAAAGTAAACCTAAATAAATGTGGGAGATGGTACTGGATGAATTGCAATTAATTTACTCCCCCCTCCCTTTTTCCCCCCCCAATGTTAAAGGTTATGCTATGGTGTGCTTACAATGAAAAAGAATTATAAATGTAACACCAACAGAGAGGTGTAAACTGATAGGAAGTTCAGAACCTCTTAATGACAGAGACAAAGGAAAATAAAAATAAACGTGTTCAATAGAGGATTTAAGTCTCAAAGGCAAACTGGAAAAAAGCCAGCTTATAAGTGGTAAGAGACCAGGTATGTAACCAACCACCCAGCTGTGGTTTGGGCACAGGCTGGAAGCTGGAGGGGCCATGGCAGGAGAGGGATGTCCTGGGAGATCAGATGTTTCCTTGTGGCCAAGGAGGACCAGAATCCGCACCCATTCTCACAGGTAATGTCACTAACCACACAACAGACAGACAGATGAAGGCAGTGACAAGGGAGGAGGGTAAAGAATCAGATAAATTGCTGAAACTTGTTTGGGTCAGTGGATAGAGCGTCAGCCTGCGGATTGAAAGGTTCCGGGTTCGATTCCGGTCAAGGGCATATACCTTGGTTGCGGGCACATCCTCAGTAGGGGGTGTGCAAGAGGCAGTTCGATGATTCTCTCTCATCGATGTTTCTAACTCTCTATCCCTCTCTCTTCTTCTCTGTAAAAAAATCAACAAAATAAAAAATAAAAAAATAAAAAAGAATCAGATAGAGTCAGGCCAGTGTGGCTCAATGGTTGAGTGTTGACCCAAGAACCATGAGGTCGCCAGTTTGATTCCAAATCAGGGCACATGCCCGGGTTTTGGGCTTGATCCCCAGTAGGAGATGTGCAGGAGGCAGCCGATTGATGATGTTCTATGTTTCCATCTCTCTATCCTTATCCCTTCTTCTCTCTCTCTTAAAAAAAACAAATCAATGAAGATATATTTTTTTTAAAAAGAATCAGATGGAAATCAGAGGCTTGGGTATTATCTGACATACCTACTGGGAATTAGCAGAGCTGAAACAAAAAGGCTATTCTCCAAAAGGACAGGACATAATTAAAAACCAAAAGGACAGACCAATTTGCCCTTGCGTGTGGGAGGTAAGGAAATGACACAGGGCGCCTGCCCCAGGGGCCCAGGTGCTCCTGGCTGCTGGACTCAAAAGAAGGGCCCCTGCAGGCACCATCCTGCCACCCTGGCTGTGGGCTCTTGGGCAAGTTCCTTACCCTCTGACTCTCAGCTACCTCATCTGCAAAATGGGCCTACCTCATTGGGTCGTTCTGAGAAGTCAATGCTTTCATGTTTCTAGAGTTTTACCAGCTACCCCTTTGAAAGAAGGTTTACCACCGCTATGTAAACCACTTGCTGTTACTGCAACCACGAAGGAGGCAGCAACAGCGAGCAGTTAAGTATAGACTCTGAAGTCAGAAGCCAGAGTTCCAACCCCAGTTCTGCCACTTTCCAGCAAGTTAGTTAAGCACTAGGAGCCTCAGTCTCTCACCTGTAAAATGGCAATAAAGTACCTGAATCACGGAGTTACTAGTCCCTGAAAAGCCCTAGGAACAGGCCTGGCACAGAGCCAACATTCAGGGCGCACTGTGAAGTCATATATAAGAACTTCAGCCCCTGGAAGAGTTTCCACAGGTGACTGACTTCAATTGACTCAGCGCCTCGTCCGTCCTCACTAGTTTAGGAGCTGCTTTCGCTCTCAGAAGCGCAGGCCCAGAGGCCTCCCAGCTCTCAAAGCCATAGGCATGGGAGCAATGAAGGGCTGTCCACACCCCACTGGGCACTTCTGTGACGCCGAGAACATATCTGTGTATTTCTTGTGCAAATTATAAACCACTTTTCTATGTGAAGGAAAACATGCACCATGGAATGTCAAGAATAGCATCGCCAAATACTGTTCCCTGAAGAAAGATCTCTGGAAGACAGCTCAAAATCCAAGTGTTCTGGTCTTTTTTGTTCTTGTAAAAGCCATTCTACTAAGTCTGGTTATCTGGTTTTACAGAAACTGAAAGAAACATTGAGAGAGACCCAGGTAGAACTAGGCTGCTCACTCACCACGTGAACTCAACTACCTGGAGCCTTCTAAGATGCTAACTTTAGAGACCTTTTGAGGAATACCGTATTTTTCGGACCATAAGACGCACTTTTTTCCCCCCAGAAGTGGGGGGAAAAAGTCCCTGCGTCTTAGGGTCCAAATATAGCCTACACATATACTTTAAAAAAAAAGTTTTTTTACTTGCCCGGCTCTGTGTGGTCTCTGTGTGCTTGCCCGGCTCTAAAATGGTTCTAAATGCTGCTGTTTACTTTACAGGGTTGATTACATGTGTTTATGACTGTGATGTTGGGTTTTAATGCACATAAAATATTTTAGGACACTATTTGTTTCAGAATCTTTTTTTCTTCATTTCCCTTCTCTAAAAACTGGTGCGTCTTATGGTCCGGTGCGTCTTATGGTCCGAAAAATACGGTAAATGAAATCATACACATAAAGCACCAAGATCTACATCAAATGCATGAAGCACACTTGTAAAGAATAATGAAAATTATGCCGAGTCCTACGGAATGGCTGTTCCTCTAAGTCAAAAGCGTTGACCAACAGCCTGGGCCAGGCAGCAGCTCCTGCTGACAGGGAAGATGTGGAGGTGGAGTTCCCAGGGAAAGGCTGGGGCCGAAGAGCAGGCATTCACTGGGCCAGACGGAGGCATTTCACTCCCGGACAAATGGCTCAGCGGCATCAGTGCACACCGTGTGAGTCAGCACCGAGAGGCAAATACAGTGCCCACGGAGAACGTTTTCTTTTCAGTCCTCGTGGGAATGTGAAGTGTGGGATCTGCAGCTATTGGGCAAGGAGCGGCACAAACCTCCAAAGTCGCCGAGGGCACGGAACCATCCCATGGTGATGACCCCAACGTATCTGATCCCATTAAATTAACCCTCCATGAAAGAAGGTGGTGGTTTAGAATACATTTCAGAGGAGAGGGGGAATGCTTAAATCCATAAAGGTTAAACATTTTAAAAGTTTGTACGTTTAAGCCGAAACCAGTTTGGCTCAATGGATAGAGTGTCGGCTTGGGGACTGAAGGGACCCGGGTTCGATTCCAGTCAAGGGCATGTACCTTGGTTGCAGGCATATCCCCAGTAGGGGGTGTGCAAGAGGCAGCTGATCGATGCCTCTCTCTCATCAATGTTTCTAACTCTCTATCTTTGTCCCTTCCTCTCTGTACAAAATCAATAAAATATATTAATAAATAAATAAATAAATAAATAAATAAAAGTTTGTATATTTAAGAATGGATCACAGAACAGACCAACTGCATAGAAACAGAAAGCAGAGTAATGGTGGCCAGCGGGTGGAAGGGGAAGGGGCTAAAGCTTGGGGGAGAGGGGTAACTGCTGAATGGGCACAGAGCTTCAGTCTGAGGTGAAGACGTTCTAGAACTAGAGAGTGGTGATGGTTGTACAACGCTGTGAATGTACCTAATGCCAATAGATTAGGCACGTTAACATGGCTATGATGGTAAATTTCGCATTGTGTGTATTTCACATAAAGCACAAGAAGGAGTAGATAATATTTGAGTGTTTATTATACTTCATACTTAATGTGCGGTATGTCACAACAGTGCTACCAGAAAAGTGTTGTTATTACAGAGGGGAACTGAGGTAATTGAGAGGTGAGGCCAGGATGACAAGGTAAGCTGCCACCTCCAGGCCTGACTCCACAGCCCTCAGGCCAACTGGCTCTTAGAAAGCTCACTTATTTGAACCGTTCATGGTTGGATAATGCCGGAAGCTGAGCTTAGGTAAAAGCTGCAGATAACGTCAGAAAATCGAGAGGAAAGTCCACACAAATCCCCACTCTTCCGAGCAGGTTCTTAATAAAACATGGGATACTGATTGGCTCCGGAGCACTAAAACATACCTTCATTCTTCATGATGTAGTGGACGATTCGCCCCACAGTATCACTATTTTCATTCATACTGTCATTCAGCTCTGAAAGAGAAAGGGGAGGGGACGATGTTACCATTGGTCGCCTGCACCAAGTGGAGGAGACATTCCGTCTTGGAGCTGGAGGCCTCACTGAGCAGTCTTCGGAAGCTCAGCTGGTCACCCAGGTGCCGAGCGCCCAGGCTCCCTCCCTGCAGCCCGGCTGCCTGGGGCAGCCCCCGAGTGGCGAGTCGCAGTTGTCCCTCAGTCTCAAGTCCAAACACCCACTCACTCTCCAAGGCGACCGCTTCATGCGTTGATATCAGCCCACACCACTATTATCTCTCTCTCAAGATTTTGTTAAACCCTTAGGGGAAATGGAAAAAAGCTAATTGAAAGGAAAGGAAAAAAAATTATTCTTGGGTTATTTTAATTGCAGTGGAACTGTAGGGTTTTAATGTGTGGGGGGTTTGTTTTAATTGGGCAATGAAATATTCATCCATGTTCATGCCGAAGCCGGTTTGGCTCAGTGGAAGAGCGTCAGCCTGGGGACCGAAGGGTCCCGGGTTCGATTCCGGTCAAGGGCATGTGCATTGGTTGCTGGCACATCCCCAGTGGGAGATGTGCGGGGGGCAGCTGGTCGCTGTTTCTCTCTCATCGACATTTCTAACTCTCTATCCCTCTCAATTCCTCTCTGTCAAAATCAATAAAATATATTAAAAAAAAGAAAAAGAAAAAGAAATATTCATCCATGTTCATAAGACTCTCCTTTCTTTTAAATGCACTTCCAGATGACCTTGATTTTGGCCATGGTTATCTGCCCACAAAATCAGTTTACTCTGGGAGACTGTGTATGTGCTAGTCTTTGGGGGGGAGGAGGGGGAGAATCAAACCTTTACTCTGAAATTGGTCTGTATAATTTGTCTCAATAAACAAGAAGGAAGAGGAGGGTTGAAACACTCCGTGGCAGTTCAGAGCACAAACCTGGAGAAGTGCTTCCTCCATGAGAATGTGTGTCTGGTTGGCCATGTGAATGCTGACTGCTAAGACCACCTCAGAGTGTCTAGGGAGAAGAAGCGTGGGCGGCTCCGCTGTCTGTTGACAAACACCCAGCTCATAAGCTTGCTCATGACTCATCCTGCAGCCGTGTTCTTTCTCTGCCTCAAAGGTCAGTGGGGGTGGGAAAAACCAACAGGCCGGCAAGCTGGCAAGGAATGAGGAAGCTCCCCCCACTCCACCCTTGGGCTGGCTTGAAGGGCGACCTACTTACTGCAAATGTCACCTTCTGCAAAAACGGCCCTTTGAGGAGCTGACAGGCATCTGGACAGTTACCTACCACTCCCCGCGACTCAACTTAGGAAGCGTCCCTAACGGACAGCCAGAAAGAACATCCACGGAGTAAACACCTCTTAGGTGTTTCTCAATACCATCCGGGAACTCCTTGAGAGGAAAGGTGAGTTGCCCTTGGGTTGCCCTAAAGTTAACTAAGGCACTGGTGTGCCATTCTTATGCTGCACTATTCACACAATCATTAATTTAAACACAAAACCTCCAATCTCATAGATTAAACACAGAGCTCACCTAGCCAAAGTAATACCCCCAAATGGTGAGATCTAATGAATTTTCCCATCAATTTAGTTAGAATCTAATTCAATAATAGTAGAGAGTGTTAATATTTAAGAGTGGCCATCTGGGTCACACATCATCTTTCACAATAATCCTATGAGGTAGAGTTTACTATACTCATATAAATGAAATAAAACTTTAATTAAATTTCAGTTCAATTATACATAGCAGAGTTTCAAAGCAAATGTAACCTGCCCAAGACCACAAGGCAGGTAAGAGTCATTACCTGGTGAGTATTTAATAGTTGAAAGCCAGGTTTAAAACGGTCGGTATTATTATGGTGACATCTACACTGATACCACACCACCTGCAGTTAGCATGCATCAGCTTGCCTCACAGGGATGGAGGGTGTGTGTGTGTGTGTGTGTGTGTGTGAGAGAGAGAGAGAGAGAGAAAGAGAGAGAGAGAGAGAGAGGGAAAGAGAGAAAGAGAGAGAGAGAGAATCCAGAGCACTCACCTATCTTTTCAACCTTCTCCTCCTCATCTTGCTCGGCTTCTGTGGTACAACGGTAGCCTTTCTTCTTCAGCAGGTGGCAGATGAGGACGCCAAACAGCCCCATGATGAAGAACACGGGGACAAGCGCATAGGCAATGTATTCGGGGTGCCCACTCCCGGCACTGTCAGTGGGCGACGGGGTCGTCTCTGCTTTGGAGTGCAGTGAGTGGCTGCCACCACTGTCTGCGGGAAGACACACGCAGGGCTGCGTTAGACGTCTGCAGGGAGCAAGGACAGCCCCACGACCTTGGGAAATGTTCACATTAAACCCCAGTCTGAGCCCAAAGCCATGGGCCATGCAGCCTCCGGTGGGTCTGGCAGTCCAGGCACAAAGGCGAGGGCCCCGGTTTGGGCTGACTCAGTGCCAGCCTGTCCCTGCCCCTCATAAACTGGGTCCCACCATGGATAACGTTTCTAAAGCTCTCCAAGCCGTCCTCTGCTTCTTCACTGTAAGAGCACCTGCACAGCATGGGATAAAAGCCCAGGGAGTGAGGTGCCCAGCCCAGAGCACACACATGCTCACTGGGTGGTGTTACTGGCTTGGACTCAGGAGACGCGGGTTCACGCACAGGCCCACCTCTTAGCAGCTGTGTGACACTGACCGATGACAAAAGCGATGCCTCGGCCTCACTGTGAAACGGGCATACTGTGAAACTACCGCCCTCGTACGCTTGTTATGAAGATGAAGTAAATTTAATGCGTGTGGGACATTTAGAACCGCTTCTGCAGCATAGGACATGCTCACCACATGCCACCATTCGAGGCACCTGTGCCATATCGCTGGGCAAGCAGAACAAAGAACCCTGTCTCAAGGAGCCTCCTAGGATTTAGTCAACTGAAAGATGTACTAGTACAGTATGAAAAGGAAGTGAACCCAGGGTGGCATTAAGATGTTGGCCCGGGGGTGCAAGGATAAAATTTAAAGCATATGCATCTGTTTATTCGTTCACTGATCCGAATTAACATTTACGAATGCCCTTTCTGTGACAAGCTCTCTGCTGGGAGCCGGATATAGAACGTGATAAACCACGTTGCTTAGCCAGTGCCACCTCAGAGCTTGCAGGGCAGCATCGGAAACAGCCATCAAACAAGTCAACACATGGGCGGATCATGGCAGATTAGGAGAAATGCCATGGAAGACATGCCATTTTCAGAAGAAAAACATGACAATGAGTACTTATTCTATGACTTCAACAATAAGGCAGCTGGGAAGGGAACATCTTTTGGATAAAAGGAGAAATATGCTTCCTCATGGAAGACTTCCTCATGGAGTCATTATGAGGATTAAATATATTAATAGGTAAAGCATGTAAAAGTGTCTAAGAAAAGATAAAACACTATAGAAGTGTTTAGTCATTGTCTTGACAGAAACAACAGTATCCAATATGGTTACCACCAGCCACAAGTACCCTGTTTCCCCGAAAATAAGACAGTGTCTTATATTAATTTTTTCTCCCAAAGTTGCACTAGGTCTTATTTTCAAGGGATGTCTTATCTTTCCATGCACTAGGTCTTATTTTTGGAAGATGTCTTATTTTCGAGGAAACATGGTAGCTATTTAAACTTAAGTCAATTAAAATTAGATATAATTAAAAATTCAGTCCCTTGGTTGCCCTTACCACATTTCAAGTGTTCAATAGTCATATATGGCTAATTGGCTAGTATATTGGATGGATCAAATAAAGAGAATATTTCCATCATTCCAAAAGTTCCATTTGACAGCTCAATAGACTACCAAGAATCACTAAAAAAGAAAATGTTGACTGGAGATTCTATTATGATCCACCTTAGCAATTCAATGAAGAGTAAATTTTAAATCCTAAGTAACTATTCACAGATAATGCCTAAATCATTTGTAAACATAGATAAGTTTAACTTTCCTTCAATTAACACTAATAATTTGCTTAAAGACACTGTCTACCTTTCTCCTTCACCTCCAGCTGAAGTGTATTTGAATTATGAATAAATTATTTGAGTCCAAATTAATAGCAAAGGTGTTGCAGCATCTCCATACATAAAAGCCTAAGAGACCGGAATGCGGGAACAACCAGTCACTATGATATGCACTGACCACAAGAGGCCAGACACTCAATGCAGGAGCTGACCCCTAGTGGGCAGTGCACCCCAACAGCCAACCTCCCTCGGTCCCTCTCCCCCAATCCGGCAGGCTGGCAGCTGGCAGCTGGCAGCTGGCAGCCGGCAGCTGACAGGAAGGAAGGCTCTGATCGGTCCTGATTGTGGGCCAGGCCTAGGGACCCCACCCGTGCACATATTTCATGGGTTTATAGATATTTATAAAAGTCAAAAATTGGCAGCATCTACATGTTTGACAATGGGATGGTAAGAAAACATTGAAGTCAAGCATCTATCATTTAATGTAATGAAATGCATCATTTAAAACTATTTATGGGAAAACACTTATGAGCCAATGTTGAATTTTATGTTAGATTCAAAAATCTTACATACAGTATGACCCAACTAGTAAAAAAAAAAAAAAAAAAAATGCATAAAGGCATAAAACAGACAAAAAAATAATTCTGGGTACGTGGATAATAGGATAATTTTAAATTTTATTTGTATACTTTTCTATAATTTTCCAAAATTTGTACATACATACTACTTTTGTACCAAGGTGGTCAATGCTTTTTAAAAAAGAGAGAGATAGAGAGCAGAGGTTGTCAGCCAGTTGGGGAGTCCCAGACCTCTTTGTAAACCTATTGGATGCCATAGTTCCTATTCCAAAATTTTGCCTCCAATTTTTGTGAGCTCTGAACCCTAGTTAATATACGAGCAAGTGGCTGAAACCAGTTTGGCTCAGCGGTAGAGCATCGATCTGCGGACTGAAAGGTCCCAGGTTCGATTCTGGTCAAGGGCATGTACATTGGTTGCGGGCACATCCCCGGTAGGGGGTGTGCAAGAGGCAGCTGGTCAATGTTTCTCTCTCATCGACGTTTCTAGCTCTCTATCCCTCTCCCTTCCTCTCTGTAAGAAAAATCAATAAAATATATTAAAAAAAAAAAAATATATATATATATATATATATATATATATATATATGTATATACACACACGAGCAAGTGGCATGACACAGATGATGCTCACATTTCTGCTCGAGCAACACGGTGGACATTGGTTTAATTCATTGAGATTAGAAAAATCTAGAAAAAAGTTCACTTGGTATTATGGGTTGAATTTTACCTCCCTCTCAATTCATAAGTTGAAGTCTTAACCCCAAGCATCTTGGAATGTGACCTCATTAGGAGATATCTTTACAAGGATAACTTAAAATGAGGTCATTACAGTGGACCCTAATTCCACATGACTGGAGAAATGTGTAGACAGACATTCACACGGGAAAAACACCGTGTGAATAAAAAAGGCAGAAATTGGGGTGATGCTTCTTCTACAAGCCAAAATAAGCCAAAGACTGCCAGCAGACCACCAGAAGCTAGGAGAGAGGCATGAGACAGATCCCTCCTCACAGCCCTCAGAAGAAAACAACTCTGTCAACCTTGATCTTGGATTTCTAGCCTCTAGAATGGAGACAATACATTTCTCTATTTTAAGCCACCTACTTTGTGGTACTTTGTTACAGCTCTAGCAAACTAATATACTTGGCATGGAGAGGGCACGGTCACGAGCTTAGTTTTGAGCATGTGGAGATAGAGGCAGACCGGGGACATTGAGATGGAAATATTTATTGAGCAATTAGATCTACTCCATGAGGAAGCAGAGGAAGAGAAGCCAGGGTGCCACCCTGGGGCACAAAGGAAGGAGTTTCCAGAAGGAATGGGAAGTTGGTGAGGTCAAATGCTGCAAGAGAGAACTAAAATAAGAAGGAAATGTAAAATGGTGTAGCTGCTATGGAAAAGCAGTATGGAGGTTCCTCAAAACTTAAAAATAGAACTACCATATGATCTAACAGTCCCGTGTCTGGGTATTTATCCAAAAGAACTAAAATCAGGATCTTGAAGAGATACCTGTACTTCATTGCAGCATTATGCACAATAGCCACACTATGGAAACAACGTAAATGCCCATCGGTTAATAAATGGTTCAAGAAAATGGGGTGTACACCTACCATTGAATCCCAGTCAGCCTTAAAAGAGAAGGAAGTCTGTCACAAGTGACAACAGGATGAACCTGGAGAACAGTATGCGGAGTGAAGTACACCAGTCACAGAACACACACTGCCTGATTCCGCTTACACGAGATACTAAAGTAGTTAAACTTTCAGAAGCAGAGGACAGAGCACTGGCTGCCAGGGGCAGTTTTTGCTCCCATGGTATAAAGCATTAGTTACACAAGAGGAGTACATTCTTGAGACCTGCTGTCAGCACTGTCTGTAGGTAACAGCACCGCGTATACGCCTGACCGTCTGTGAAGAGGGTAAACCTCATGTTAATGTTCTCACCACAACGAAAAGAAAAAGAACCTAAGAAGTATCTGTAGAGATAATGTAGAACTAAGACAAATGAGGCCACGAAGTTGTTTCTAAGAATACATGGGATACCTTTAGTTTCGAATTTAGGAAGCAACTTAGAATTTTTTTTAAGTTTCTCCTTGCTATGTTTTACTCCCTGTTTGTCATTTCTTTGAAATACACTTTAAAATCCTAACATAAGTACGTACGTACATACATACATATATACATAAAATGAACAAATACATTTGAAAATAAAGTAGGACAGAAAAACAGTACAGGGAGATCCTTGTGGCCTTGGAGGGGGCAGTTTTTCAACAGGCTTAAGGTAAGGCGGGATTCCCTGGGAGGACAAATACAGACTGGACTCAGTTCACTCTTTCTAGGAGCCAATTATGAGTGAGAGTGATAGAGGGGGAGAAGGCATTTTGATTTGGAGCTTTGTTGTTATGGTTGTTTTTAAGTGGCGGAACCCACCTATTTACACTGAGTGGCCAGATTATTATGATCTCTGAATGCATAATAATCTGGCCACTCGGAGTATATCCTATATAATAAAAGGCTAATATGCAAACTGTCCCCTCACCCAGGAGTTCGATCAGCAGACAGGCCAGCCAACAGCCCATGTCTCCTCCCCCTGGCCAAGCTGGACGGACCCCACCCATGAACAAATTCATGCACCAGGCTTCTAATATTTGTGTATGTGTGTGTATGTCCGTGTGTGTGTGTGTGTGTGTATACATGTGTGTATATATATATA